AATAGTTTCCCAAATTGCCTTTCCCAACATTGTGCAATAATAGTGCATTGGATGATTAGCTACAGATTTTAATAATATTTTCACAAAATAAACTATCAAAACAAACAAAACAGTAACCATATTTATTGTATTAGATTCTGACGGTCCTCTTCTATCTCAAAAAAGATTTATGCCAAGTTGAGGATATTTATTACCACTGGTAAATCACATATCTGCACTTCATTTTTACTGCTTCCAGGGCATATTCAAAATGGATCTAGATTTTTCCTAGATATCTAATGACATTTTTTAAGACAGAGTACATATTATATTAGAGCAGGGGTTGGCAAAATTTTTGTGTAAGGAGCCAGATAGCATGTTTTGTGGTTTCAGGACCACACAGTCTCTGTGGAAACTACCCAGCTCTGCCATTATCGTGTGTAAGTGGCCATAGACAATATGTAAACATGTGGACGTGGCTTCTTTATTTATAGATATTGAAACAGTAATTCCATACAATTTTCATCGATCAAAAAATACTATTCTCCTTTTGATGTTTATCAACAATTTAAAACGTAGGAACCAGTCTCACCTCACAGGCTGATACAAAGACAGATGGAGGGCCAGTTTGGCACATGCACCAGTTTGCTCACTCCTGTTGTAGAGCATATATAGGAAGTGCACAACATGCCTTAGATAAAGAATGACATGGACTTAAACTCATCCTTCTCTGTGACATTAGAGAAGTGATTTCATCATATCTCACTTCCCATTATTAAGGACTAAGAGAGAACATCATGAGAATATTTTAATCAATTTTTAGTGGTTTGCTGCAGCACGCAAGTACTGGTGCAGAAAAGCCAAGCGTGTATTTTTATTCACAACTCCATATTCAGTGACACCACATGGGTGCTCTGAAATTGACCATGGTGGAAATATTTATACCACAAAAATTGGCAAATGCTATAAATCAGAGGTATTTTTCCCCTAGGAGTTGGTTATTAAACCTGTAAACAGATCATTAAACATAACATTTCTATGGCACCTTGGCTACTCTGTGAATAAGACATGACAGTACAAAATAGCATAGTTGAATTATTTTTTAGGAATTACTCATGGATGCATTTTTTATTTTTTTAGAGCTTAACTAGGCATAGTCACTCAGTTTTTTTGTTTTCTTTTTTTGTTTTCTGGTGAGAAAGATTGGCCCTGAGCTAACATCTGTTGCCAATCTTCCTCTTTTTTTTTTTCTCCCCTAAGCCCCAGTGCATAGTTGTATATCCTAGATGTAAGTCCTTCTAGTTCTTCTATGTGGGGCGCTGCCTCGGCATGGCTTGATGTACGGTGCTATATCTGCACTGAGGATTTGAACCCGTGAATCCCAGGCCACTGAAGTGGAGCGTGCAAACTTAACTACCGTGCCACTGGGCCAGCCCCCATGGATGCTTTTAAATAATTGCCATAATTATTGTTCTTTAATGAAATAACTATGTCATTGCTACCTATCTCAAAAGTTTTAGAATAGCAACAAAAGTTGACTACCCCGAGGAAACTAGATCACCACAGGCTTCAGAATTTATTCAAGTAAGAAAGAGGATCTTGATGTCACATGCATTAATGAGAGGAATGGTGGTGGCAGAGCAGACTTGTAAGATTAATCTGGATGTCATGCTTTATCAATTACACTCTATGTTATAAAGAATTACACTCTATGTTATAAAGAAAAACTTCAACTCCCCTGTCCCTACACAGAAAGTGTCAAGAAACCATCTTATTAGTGGAGGTGCATTTTGCGGGTCTCATGTTGTTTGTTTTTGTTTATTTTTCCAGATTTCAGAATGTCAGATATTAAAAATCAATTCTTCAGGTGGGATAAATTCAAGAAAAAAGCTGATAAAAATTTAATAAAGGCAGGACAACAAATGGAATTTCTAATAGAAATGAGTCACTGGTATTTATCATCCACTTCCTTTTTCGAAAATATTTGAAAATATACCCCACAAAGAGCCAACCTCTTTTTTCCACTGTATCCTACTAACAGACTAGAGTACATATATTTTTTTCGAATGTCATTTTATACTATTCTGTAAAAATGGGAAAAAGAACACAAAACAGAAACAACATCTCGCATTCCTAGTAAAAGAAACATAGTGATGGGAAAAAATTTAAATTCAATAAAATCTTTCATTTAGCGAGAAGTCTGCATTGTGTGTGTGTGTGTGGTGAGTAATAGCCAACATAGGAATTAAGCTAAATTAAAAAAGAAAGTCAAGAGACGCCTCTGGCAATCTTTGATTTATTTAGTTCAGAAGTTTTGGAAAACAAATATTTATTTCTATAGCTTATCGAATTTCTTTCCAAATAATACATCTTTATTTTATTGTGCTTACTTATTTATTCTGTACACATCCAACTTGAATTGTTTCATATTTTTGTATTTTCCTTACAAATCTTACACTTCTTTGGCATATTTGTATGTTTAACTTCTATTTATTTTTACTAGAAATCAATGTGACTCATGATACATTTTACCCCACTGTCTGCTTATTTGCAGTTTCCATTTCTCCACTCATGTCTGAAATATATCTTCAGATTCTGTCCACACATTTTCCATGGTATTATATCAAGCCTTCATGGTTTCCTGTGCACCGACGAGTCCACCCCACTTACTCAAACGTCCCCTGAGCTCAGATGTAAATATCCAGCCCTAGTTGCACGTGTTAAGCCCTTAAAGTTGACATGTTTATAACTAACCTCATCCATTTGCTTCCTGACTCAGCTCATCCTCTTGCATTTCCTATTTTGTTTGAGGGTAGAAGTTTCTATTTCAGTGGTTTACAAACTGCATTTAACCCGCACAAATGAAGCAGAAAGTTCATTATAATTAAATAAGTGACTTCCCCCAGCCACGATTCTCTATTAGAGAATATTCTCTGGAAGTATGCAGACAGGTGTATAAAAAACAGCTTATGTGTGGAGGGAATAAAAAAATTTACGGGATGCATAAAGTAGCAAAACTTACAGCAGTACTTAGAGAGAGGTTTATAGCTGTGAATGCCTATATAAAAAAAGATGAAAGTTCTCAAGCCAGTAACCTAACTTTTCTCTCTAGAAAACTAGAAGAAAAATGACAGTAAACACAAAGCAAACAGAAGGAAGGAAATAATAATAATTAGAGTGGAAAAATCAAAGAAAGAAGAGAAAAATAATAAAGAATGGTAAGAAAACTAAAAGTTAGTTCTTCGAAGATATCAACAAAATTGACAAACTTCTAGTTAGCTTGACCTGAGAGGGAAGATAGACAAAGAAAGTGAAAAAAGGTCTCAGAGAATAGAAGGAGATATTTGCATATCATACAACTGATAAGGCACTGGTATCCAAATATGCAACTTACTCTTACAACTCAATATGAAAATAAAAAACAATTTAAAAATAGGTGAAGAATTTTATAGACATTTTTCCAAAGAAGATACAGTGGACTATAAGCACGTTCAACATTATTAGTCATTGGGAAAATGTAAATTAAAACCACAAAAAGATACCACTTCACATCCACTAAGATGACTATGATCGAAAGGACAGGTAATAACAACATTTGGTGAGGATATGGAGTAATTGCAGTTGTCACTCATGGCTGGTAGAAATAAAACATGATGACGCCACTTTGGGACACAATTTGGCAGCTCCTCAAAATATTAAACATAGAGTTATATTATGACTCATCAATTTCATTCTTGGGTATATACCCAAGAAAATTGAAAACATATGTCCATACTTAAAAACATGTACATGAATGTTCACAGCAGCATTATTCATACTAGCCAAAAAGTGGTAACAACCCAAATGTACATAAAATAATTAATACATAAACAAAATGTGGTATACCCATACTATTGATACATTCCACAAGAGGGATGAACCTGAAAACACTATGTCAAGTGAAAGAAGCCAGTCACAAAAGACCACATGTTGTATGATTCCATTTACATGAAAAGCCCAAAACAGGCGAAACTATAAGGACAAACAGTAGATTAGACAGATTTCTAGAGACAAAAAGTCAGAGCTGAGTGTGGGAGTATGGCTAATTGGTACTGGGTTTCTTTTCTGGACAATGAAAATGTTCTCAACTTAGATTCTGGGGATGGTTGCATAAATTTTGGATATCCTAGAATCCAAAGAATTGTAAAAAAAATGCCAATGACTTATTTTGAAATTATTTTTTAAAATGCATAGACTTTCAGGTTTTTTTCCAGTGAAAAAATCTATAATTATAGATTTCTCCTCAATGATTTAAGCATCAAGTCAAATTCAAGCATTTTATAACAGAGATACTGAAACAAATACATATTTTTTGTGGGATTGTCTTATATTTCCCTTAGCTTTTCATTTCGATGCATTTTTAACCTGACTTCAAATAAATAAATACAAGTTTTTACTGCATTGACTGATCGATACGTTTTAAACAGCAAAGCCCCAAACCACACTTTCCAAAATTAGTTCAGAAACAAATATTTTAATAATCTACCTCATTTACATAAACTATTACAAACTTCCACAGCAATTTTCAGAGATTCATGTAGAATGAGCTTTATGATATCCTGAACACCAGTCAAAGAAAATAAACTTTAAATTCTTTTATTTGAAAATTACTATGGAGAAATTCCACTCTGGGGTCAGGCTTCCTTCCTCTGCTTACAATCTAACTCTAGGGTTTTGTGTTTTTCTGTTCACTGTAATACAATTATTAGTTAACGACCACACATAACAAGTTAGAATGATTTTTGATTTCGATAAGAAAAGAAAAGAAAAGAAACAAGTGTTAGTGCGCATTCCTCATTGTATTATGATGTTGGGAAATAAGTATGTTTTATTATTTTGAGACTTAAGAGAATATGTTGTCTTCAAATTATCTCTAGTAATATAACACCGTGATATCTATTATTACCACACCTGCATTCAGAAAATAGAGCTCACTGTCAAAACAAAGTCCTTAGTTGTCTGCTTTGACACAAATGTCTTACCTTTGTCTTGGCAGGCTGATGAGGGGTTGTTTATGACACCGCTTGCTGAGGCTAAAGACCTTGTGTACAATTTTCTGCGCCTTTAGGAAAAGTTGCTTCATGCTGCTCTCCAATTGTTCATAGCGGCGCTGGAAATTAGAATCCATTGTCCACAAGTGCATGATGGTAGATGTGTTGAGGAAATAATTCATGGGGAGCCTTTTCATAAAGAACTTGAATTCATCTGAAAAACGTTAAAAGTCAACACTTTAATTATAAAACAATTTCCCCTTTTCCCCAAAATATTTAATCTGTGAATATTAAAAACAAATACAATCTATTATTTTATGTGCAGCAAATTAAGAGCAAGCTAGGATTTTTATTTTGATGGTTTAGGATTGTTTTCTTTTTTGTTTCCCTTAAAATAGAGCTTTTGGGGCCAGCCCGGTGGCATAGCAGTTAAGTTCACATGTTCCACTTCAGCTGCCCCGGGTTCTCCAATTCGCATCCTGGGCATGGACCTATGCGCCACCTATCACACCGTGCTGTGGCAGGCATCCCACACATAAAGTAGAGGAAGATGGGCACAGATGCTAGCTCAGGGCCAATCTTCTTAAGCAAAAAGAGGAGGATTGGTGGCAGATGTTAGCTCAGGGCTAATCTTCTTCTTCAAAAAAATAAATTAAATAAAATACAGCTTTCATGGAAGAAGATAATTAAAGTAATTTGTGCTAAAGCAAACAGTTTGAGTAGAAAGTTTAAGTTGAACTTAATTTTTCCATGTTCTCCTTTTAATGGTATTTGAATGAACTTTTCCTCATAGGTACGGTCATTAATCTAGCTTTCATTTTTTGGCATTACTATTAATAATCCTTTCTAAGTGCTGTATATTAAAGAAATATTTCAGGAATTTTCATTAACTCATTATAGAAAATACATATAATCACTATTAAATGATTATATTAATGTTTAAAGAAAAAAAGAAAGCCTCTTAAATAAAAAAAATATATAATATTCAACTGTGTACTCTAGTTATTCCCTTTAACTGTGTTCCAATTGGTCAAGATATAATGGTATAAAAAACAAATGTATGCTAAAGAAAAAAAATTAAAAAGAATTTAAAGCTCAAATTCTGGCTTTTCTTTTTGTGTCAATAATTCTCATGTCTGAAATTGTCTTCTTTTCAAATGTCTGATTAATGAAAAGTAGGAACAAAGGTTGATGGTACACTAAAATAAATAATCTTCTAAAAGGCCTATTAATTATCTAAACACAGAAGATAATTGAGACAATAGCTAAAAGATGGAAACAATCCAACTATCCATCCATAGGTGAATGTGATACCAAGTGTGATATATACACAAAATATTATTGAGTCATAAAAATGAAGTTCCAGGGCTGGCCCAGTAGTGTAGAGGTTAAGTGTGAGTGCTCTGATTTGGTGGCCTGGGGTTAGTGGGTTTGGATCCCGGGGGCAGATCTACACACTGCTCATTCAGCCAAGCTGTGGTGGCATCCCACATACAAAATAGAGGAAGCTTGGCCCAGATGTTGGCTCATGGACAATCTTCCTCACCAAAAAAAAACAAAAAAAACATAAAACAAAGAATGAAGTTCTGATACGTGCTTAAACATAGATGAACCTTGAAAATATTATGGTAAGTGAAATAAGTCAGACAAAAAAGAACAATTATTGTATAATTTTACTTATATGAAGTCTCTAGAGGAGTCGAGTTCATTGAAAGAGAAAATAGATTAGAATTTCCCAGATGATGGGGAAGGGGCAAATGGAAAGTTATTGCATAATAGTTACAGAATTTCTGTTTGCCTTGATGAAAATTTTTTGGAAACAAATAGTGGTGATGGTTGTACAACATGGTGCATGCAATTAATATTACTGAGTTGTACAGCTAAAATGGCAAATTTTGTGTTGTATATTTTTTACCACAATAAAAATATTTTCCCAAAAAGTAAAAGATGGTAGAGTCTTTTCCCCCATCTCTCCTTTTCTTTCAATGTAAATATTAAGAACAAGGACTCAAAACAAGCTTTTTCTTGCTTTTAGGATGTCTTTAAAAGATTTATTTTGTTAAGCATATCATGTTGCAGCCATTTCCACATAGTACATGACTGGGTTTCCTCCACACATACGCACCAACAGGCCACAAGATTTGAAAAATGTTTTCAACGGCTGAAGAAGTTTTATTTGGCGAGTGAAATAAACCACATTTTAGTCACTATTCTACCTATAAAAACATTATATGGTATGCATTAAACCTCAGCCTCTTTGTGCCTTAATTTCCTCTTATGTAAATGGGATAGAAAGCTCTAGATGATGATAATCTCATTTAATTTTAAAATTCTATGACGTTATGAACAGCTATTTTAAATTATCTTTTAGTTAGTCTTAAATATCCAATTCAAAAACTGTTTTTTGCCAATGTCCAGCTACAGTTATTAGTATTTAACATACTGTGGGTAACATGTGTCAATACCTCTTGCTTGTATGTGGGCATGTCTCTATTACAGTATTTTAAAACCTTCAAATTGTCGTGAACATTTCTTAAACTATGCCATTCACATCACAGTGGAAAAAGTAGACTACATTAATACATATATAGAGAGAGAGCAATTAATTTATACTTATTTTACGTATTAGGTATATTTCAATATTCAGATCCAAACTATTTCATCAGTCCTGGAAAATGCACATTTTAACAATTAACAGAAAGTTATATTCATGAACATTGGGGTTATTTTTTCTAGAGCAAATATATATAAAGCCCTGGCATGGTTTGGACATTAAAGAAGGAAAAATAAACAAAAGGAAAAATGGACTTTTTACAGCAAAAATTATGGGGAAAGACTTTTGAGGATATATCCATCTGATACGCTTCAAATCACTTTTTCTTTTAAGTACGCAGAGTATAAACAAGAGATGCATTTTAGAATTCCAATTTCACAGTACCTACATTTTGTTTGGTCCCATATGTCTCTTTTGAGAAATTCCCTCTTTTGATTAAAGGAGTTGATACATGGAAATTGGAAAGCATTTCTTGCATTATTCACAGAGCAGATGCCACTACTTTGAAAACTAATCATTCATTTCATTGTCATCTTTTACTTGAACACATTTGATAAGCCTTTATTGTTTCATGCGTATGCATATTTTAATTATTTTCATTGTTTGCTGTAATAGTATTCTGAAAGTTTCTAGTCAGTAAATTTATTCAAGTTAAAGAATGTTTTAAAATAGAATTTATTTAATTTTACCAAAGTGTATGTGATAGTGTATGTCAGCTGAAAACTGTCACTATGTAATTTCTAGGAAACATAGTTTTAACATGAGCCTTGAATAATTACTTCATTATGAAGTCATTAAGAGTCACCATTGATAGTCACTCAAAATATTTATTGGGCACCTGTTGTGCACAGAACATACAGATGTTTCAGTCTATGAGAGTATGGATAAACCTTTCATCTTATTTTTAAAAAATGACAAATGACATGAAATATTTTCCAATGATAAAATAACATCTTCTGTATCTATTTAGAAGTCAATCGAATCTCCAGAAATATTCCTATGGATATCTTTTCTTTCATTTTTGGCAATCAGTAAATTCACATTTACAGAATAAGAAAATAAAATTGGAATGATACGTTATAATTATTATCTAAATCTAGTGATTTACATAACAAAAAGAAAATACAATGATTAGAGGGTGCCAGATAACATTTTATCCTACAATAATTTGCAAAGTCGTGTAGAAGATAAAGTCCTATGGCTTTTCAAAAGTCAGGTAAACAGTGTCCTAAATGGCAGGAATAAGTTAGCAAAAGCTGAAAAGAAAATCTGACCCTTGAGGGAGTGCAATTAATACACAAATTTTGACCCACTCCATAATCCTGACTAGAATTGGTCAATTTTTACTTTTAGAAAGTTTTGTTTTTCCTCCAAACACTTCTAAGGGACTATTTGAACGATTTTTATCACTTTAGAATTTTCCCAACTTCTACGGTATATCACCAATAAGACTTTGAGCGGCCACATATCAATGAAAGTCTACTCAAACCATTGCATAAGGCATGAGTCTAGAGCTCATATGAAATTGACAAGATACTATAATGCCGCATAAAGTACACGGCCAGCCTGTTCAATAAGTTGTAAACTGGCCAATTTTTATGAGGCTACAAAGAGATATACCGGTATACAAGGGCGTTCATCAAAAACAGACCCTAAATCCTGAGTAGCTGCCTAGAAATAACTCGTGCTTTTCCTGTTTACTTTTTCTCTGAAAGATACAGCATATTTTTATATTAAAATACTTCAATATGGGGAGCCAATTAATCTGGATCTTCCTGTTTATGTACCCCCCCCCCATTCAAATGTTTGAGAATTACCTAAACAGAGCTTTATCTCTATAGAACCTGCAAGATCTGGGTCCTCACTTTTCCAGTTGCCCTTGCAGCTACAGAGCAGATGCACCATCTAAGCTATAGCAATCGGGTGTACCCACCCAGATTTTGGATCTTAAGCTGTTGATGCAATCACAAAGGGGATGCCCAGAGCAATTCTCTCAGGAGGCAGTGGTCACCGCAGTGAAGTTAGCGTTTAGTGTAATCTAGCAGTCACTGCAGTCAACAGTGATGACCTCGTTAAATAAGTCTTGTCCAAGATTCTTGGCTTTGAACTATGTAGCTCAAGAGCATGCTTTTCTAACCTTCTTGATGATTCTATACACTATCCAATATCCTTTACTGAATTCCTTATTAGCTTAGGTTAGCTGGAGCCTTTTTTTCTTGCTGCAAAGAATCTGGGCTGAAAGAAGTACTGGTATGAGATGTGGTTTGGCAATAGCCTCTATGGACAACAGGGAGAATATGGACTCGGTTTCCTGGACTGGTTGGAACAAAAAGCTTTTTAAATCCATGCAGTATTAAAGGTGGAACTTTTGACAGTAATATTGCCTGTGCCCATCTAGAACGAAGAGCTTGTTGTAGAAATAGCATTTGAGATTATGTTCCTGAGGAGAACTGAATGAGGAACATGAAAAATTCAAAGACTGAGGGTGAGTTGTTTGGGACAAATAGAGATGACTTGCTTAAAGAGCTCAAATTCCTACCCTTTGTTCTCAGAGCACAGAATGAATGCTAGGAGACTTTCAAAGACCTTGCTAAAGGAAACTTTTATCTCTTGCAGCTGTACGGCTTCAAAACAAACTTTGATCCCAAGATTGAATTTAA